AGGACGGCTGCTTGCGTTGTGGCCGAAACGTCGTGAGAATTATTTTATTATGTTTTATTTTTATTACTTTATTATTTCCCTTCTACGTGACTTTACCGAAAGAACCAAGAAGACAAGGCCACCTTGTTCTGACTCGACAGAAGGTGCTCTCACTTTCAGGTCATCAACCCGCCGCCACCCCACAGGGCACACCCAGTGCGTCCAAATCGTCCTCTCATACCATGCTCTCCGCGGCCCGCTCTGACCTTGTTATTGGCTTGGCCCGCGCGCAGCATGGGCACGCTAAAAATGAACGCGATGGGTCCCGACTGAGAGCCGCAATTCTTCCCGACCTTGCGGATTGCGTCGCCGTGCCCTGAGATGCCGGTAACTATTAACTGGACCTTGCTAAGCAGGTGGCGGTAGGCCTCGGCAAGGTAAGGTAAAAGGTTACAGGTAAAAAGCAACGAGCCTACCTTTACCTTACCCCTTGGCATGTGGACACCTTTACCCTTTAATCTTTTACACGGTAAAAAAGGTAAATTACCTTTCCTTGCCGAGGCCTAGGCGGCGGGTTGGGGTGTTATTTTTGGACGGTGCGACGGGTTCCTTCGGTCCCGTCGCACCGTCCGTTGAACTTCTTTCGCACCCTGTGTTGCCAACCGTGCTTCGTCGGAGGTGCGGTGGCGAAGGACATGAAACTAAACGCAAAAAAGCAGTTGTAAAGAAATCTAGATTGAAAAGTCGCTTAGCTCCAGTGGCTTCCTAACATCGGTAGGAAGAGCGTTGCAGACGGCCGCGGGGGCGCGTCCGAAAGCGAGCGATGCGATGGCCGTCTTTGCTCGATGGCTACCATAAAGCCGCCGCTTGCGAGGATGGCCGGGGTTCGCGTGGTGGTTCATGCTCATTGCTAAAGACGGCAGCGGCAGCAGCAGCAGCGTACGCGCACACGCTGCCGCTGCTGGGCGCGAATCTGTTTGGTGCCAAAGCAGCTCCCCCTGCCCTCCCGCGTACAATAATTGGAATGTCTTTACCCCCGCCTCGCTTCATTTTTCCGCGCACAGCCAGCCCGCGGTTTGAAATTTGAACGCCACGGGCTAATATTCGGTGGCGGCGCGTAATGGCCTCCCGTTGCACACTCCGTCTCGTCGTTCTGATGGCCGCGCGGCCGGCCTCGCCGTGCCGGGACGCGTTCTCTGTGGTCGGCTGGAATCGCTGCCAAATGATCTCCTTTCGTCCGAAGTGACCTCTGGTCAGAAAATCACCGCCGCAACCTGTAGTCGGCACACGGGAAGCTCCGACGAGAGTGTCATTTTCTCGCCGAATACCTCCCTCCCCCTGTTATCTTCTGCCTATGTCTGACCTCTCTCTCTCTGTCTCTGTCTACGAAGTAAACACGCCCACTGTTACGGTATGGTATCTACGCATCCGGTCTATGCATTTAGACTCCATGTAAAAATCCACGTTGTATTGTATTTTGTACAGCGCACTTCGTATCTACGTGATTTTCGGTTAGCTGGGGCGGTGGGCAGGGAGAAGGAGTCCTTTTGCTTGTATGTATGTGCCATGGTGGTGAGATGATGTTTACTACCTCGCCTGGTAGACAGGAGGATCGTGGGTTCAATCCCGACCCTGACATTTGTAAGTTTGGAGTTTGCGTGTTCTACGCGTGGTCGCGTGGATTTTTTTAGAAAACACGTTTAAAGTATTTCGCTGCTTTCAATTTCCGCGTGATGATAAGCCACTTCGTTGAGCTATCATTTGTGGCCAGGTCGCTTCTGAAAAAGAGCTATATCTAGCACAGTGGGCCTTACCTGGTAAAATATAAAAAAATTAACCCGTAAAAACAAAGTTTTTCACTATAAATCCTTTATATGCGTGGCATCGGGGCGGCTAGAGTCCTCTCGTCCTCTGGCTTGAGATGGCTGCCACCTATGGGTCAGATGATTGTCTGCCACCATTAAGCAATTGGTAATTAAATATTTAAAAAATTTTCCCTAAACAGTGTAACATTTTTGAAACATTTTTTCACGAAAATTAATTGTCACGCACAACGAGTCTGTGTGGAAAATGTCAGCTCGATTCGGGTCACGGGAAGTGGGTTAAAACACGACCGAAAGATTTGCACGGTCGTAAGCAAGCAAGCACGCAAGCACACAAGCAAGCAAGCAAGCGAACTTAATATAAAGGATTTAAAAAAATAGTTGAGCTCAGTTGAACTTCTCTCGCACCGTACGTAGCCGACCGTGCCAATCGCAGGTGCGGAGCGCCAGTGCCGACAGCCGCGCTGGCGCCGCCAAATTGCAACCGCGGAACCTCCGCGTGCGTGCGTGCGCTTCCGCGCTTGGAATTTCAGCCGGGCCACGGGGTGGAAGGCAGACGTGGCCGTGCGTTTAATGCCCTCCCTGAGATTTCCCCACCCCCCCCTTTCCCATTTCCCAGCTGCCACTTGCCTTCATCGAGATAAGCCCCCGAGCACAGGACTCGGCCGCACCGGCATCAACCGCCGGTGACGCCGGGGGGGGGCGGCTGTGAGCAACATGAAAGCCGCTCATCCTGTTGGCAACGTTCCCCCCCTGCCCCACCACCCCCCCCCCCCCCCCCCCCCGCTTGGGGACCCTCACTGGGGTCACGGCGGTTTGACGGTGGGAAGGTTGACGATCGTCATCTCCGATGCTCCCGGCTTTTCGATTAGCGCCCGGCCCAAAGGTTTTCTCCCACCCATTTCCCCCCCCCCCCCCCCCCCAGGTCACACACGGAGCGACGCTGCGCGCCGTTAGCAGTTCGTCGTGAGGGTCACGGTTCGGTAATTGGTGCCCGGGCGCGCGGTTGGAATCGTTGGATCCCCTTGAACAAACAGTGTAGGACAAGCGCGGCCGGGACTTTGGCCGCAGCCAAGGACCGCGACCCCCTTTGACGAGACCGGCGTTGTGTCCTGGCGAACAGGGATCGTCGGTACGCGTCGGGGGGGGGGGGGGGGGGGTGTGCGACTGGAGGCAAGTTGTTTATCACGTGCGGCCGTGCGCACGCCCGCGGACGGAGGGTGCAATTTCCCTGCCGGTGTGACGCAGCCGCCGCTCGCCGTATGAAAGAGATTAATCAAGGATTCTCGTTTTGGCCAACCTTTCATCAGCGAGCATTCGGCTGACATGCCCGCCCGTGCGCCCATCCCAAGACCAATGTCCGAAGCGGCGTGCTCAAAATGACTCTTTAATGGTCGGCAATGGCCAGGTACGATTGTGGGAATCATATTGGTTTTTGTAACCCGGGGGTGTTCTTCTTGTAGGGAATTACCAGTCCCGAGAAAATTTGATGTGCGCTTTCAGCACCGCGCGTTCGTTGACTGCACAACGTGAATGATTTTGTTTACCTGATATTCATTTTTATTTCCACCGCCCCCCCCCCCCCCTTAAATATAACTGCCCCGAAGAGTCGTTTGCGGGGCCCACGTGTGTTTCCTGCGATTTTACGCGCACAAAGATCCTTCTATATCGCCTCTAAACAGACTCTTGGTGCATTTGCCCCTAAGCGAGCGCCTATTAAGGTCCGCGCGATGCACCAAGGGGGTTGTTTGGCCAGCGCCTCACCCAGCTGCCTTAGTCTCCCCGGTGCTGATGTTAATACGCTGTAAGCGGTGTATTCGTTGACCTAGGCGAGGCCCTTGAACCGGTTCGGATATTCGCCACCGTTATCGGTCATTAGCGAGAATCGAACTCGTTTCGGCGGGTTCGCGGTGCGGTGCGCTAACCCCTGCTCCACCGCTCCACTTGGCACACACAAAGACAAAGATCCCCCGTATAGCCTTAACAGACTGTAGGGGCAAGTGCGGTTAGCGAGCACCTATGAAGGCCGGCACGGTACACGAGGGGGTGTGTGGCCAGCACCACGTCCGGCCGACTTTGCCTCCCTAGCGGCGATGTTTACACACCGCACCAGGTACTCATTTGAGGCCGAGTCGACCTAGGAGAGGCCCAGGATCGGTTCAGATAATCGTCACTGGTGTTTGCCGTGAGCGGGAATCGAACCCAGGTCGCCGGGTTCATAGCGCAGCGTAGTGCTACACTACCGCTCCCCACTGGCACACGCACACGCACACACACACGCACACGCACACGCACACACACACGCACACACACACACACGTGAGCGGGCACGCAGCGTGAATGCATATTCGAAGATTCTCATATTGTTCAAAAGGTGTTTGTTTTTCAACCCGATAAATAGCAGATGGCAACCAGTGGTGCCATGCATCGAAGTGCCGCGGACAAATCGCAGAGGAAGGATGCCGCCACATCTCATTGGAATCGAATGTCACAACAAATGTCCCGTTGTCTGATGGCCCTCGTACTACACAGGCTTTGAGACCCTGGCGATTTTTCGCGTGAACGCGCATCTCGCGTGGGACGCGCGCTTTCCCATCTGCTACGCGTGTGCGTACGTTCAGCTTGCTTCCGCACCGCACGTAGCCAACCGCGCTAATCGGAGGTGCGGCGAGGAAAGGACAACGAACTAAACGCCAAAAGCATTTCTAAGCAAATGCGTTTTCAATCTGAATTTAACAGTGCACAGATTCAGTGGCTTCCTTGTATAGAACATTCCAGACGGCCGCTGGAGCACATCTGAAAGCGCCGCGACGATTGCGGCGACAGTCTTTGTTCGTTTAACGGAGGGGGGGTGGGGGGGCTCTTGAACAGGTGCACGTACTATTCTTTGGTTCTTTGGGTAAAGTCACGTATAAAGATAAAATAATAAATTCAATAATAGCATACTACGACGTTTCGATTGCAACACAAGCAATCATCAGGTATAAAAGAAATAGCAACAAAAATCTAACCGGAAAACTATAGACAGACATACAAGTATGCTATTATTTTATCTTTATACGTGACTTTACCGAAAGAACCAAAGAATAATTCCTGCAGTCACGAAAGCTCCGAAATTGAGACGTGCCACGTACGTTTGCCGAACTTCTTTCGCGCCATACGTGGCGGCCAACTGCGCTAATCGGAGATGCTTCGCAGGTTTTTTCCAGCGCCAAGTACCCGGCGACAGAGGGGCTCGACGACTACGTGTCGGTGTTCACCGGCGCGGGAGACGGCGGCGAGGTGCGGCGCCCGCGCTACAAGCTGCAGAGCAAGCACCGCGTGCTGGATGAGCGAGCCGTCAAGGTGAGGGCCAGGGCGCTAGTGCTCGCGGTCGCGGGTGACGTGTCCATCGGTCGGTCGGCCTTTGTGTCCGTCCCAAATGTGCATCACTCCACAGGTCAGTCCGTACTCTTTGGTTCTTTCGGTAAAGTCACGTAGGTAAAAAATAAAAGTGAAAAATTTATAATATTTTTTTTACACTTTTATTTTTTTACCTACCGAAGAGTATGGATCCTGATAATTGGTTTTTTACCCTTCTATCTGGCAACAAAACTGACACCTTTTTTACAAGGAGTCATGTTTGCATAGACCACAATACCTGCAGTCATAATGCAAAAAAAAACATAACACTGATAATATATGTACTGTCCTTGAAGTTGATTGGTCCACACCCGAGACAGCTTTCCTTAGAGCCTAGTCTCACATGGGTTGGACTAACCCGCGACGAACAGCGACGCCGCGTGGACTGCGGCGGGGAGCGCGGCAATGCGAGTCCAAGCGCCGGCGATTATCTCCGCTCGCTCGCTCTCTCTCTGTCTCTCCGCCGCGTTTTCCCGAAAGTTTCTCATCGCTCGGCTGCGGTGGCGAGGTTATTTTTTTCAAATTAAACGCTCTGAAGCCCACGCCCCCCCCCCCTCCCCTTCAGCTGTGACGACGCGCAGTGCAGCAGCTCACTCTCGCCACATAAATCGGGGGGGGGGGGGGTGTTGATTTGTGCGCAACCGCCCGCGCGGTCGCGCCGCCGCGGAGTTAAAGGTCGCGGCGCAGCCAAGCCGGCCGTCGTGAATAATCCTCGAAGTCGGTCCCGCCGGGATTAATCATCACCGGCTGTTTAAATTCAACGCGATCAATGAATCAAATTCGCCGCCCCCGAACCAGATTAATGATCATTCTTCTTGAAGCTCGCTAATAGCAAATAAAAACCCGCCTGAGTGTAGGGGCGGGGGATGCGGTGAAGGCGGAAGGCGGGGGGGGGGGCGGGCAGTCGGGGGGTGGGGTGGGCGTGGGGGATGTCCGAACACACGAGCACAAATGACCCCGCTTGTTCAAACACTCTTATCGCCCACTTAACACTTAACACTTGACGGGACCTTAAATTTCCAGCGCAATCGGTCAGTGTTGGTAAACAATGGCTGCAGAGTTCACCCCCCCCTCCCCCCCATGCATTATACAAAGTTTAGGTCCCATGGGTGGTACCTGCCCACAAGGGGTTACGGCTGTACACCGGCGTGCCCACCCCCTCCCCGCCGATCTGCGCGTCCTCCCTCCCTCGCTCACGACGAGTCGCGGCGCAGGGCGGCGGCGGTGGAGTCCTCCCGTTGGCTCGTGCGTCGCGACGGCGCAGCAGCGTTGGTTTCTTCACCCCGGGCCCCCATCCCCCCCACCCGCGTACCATCTAGCACGTCGCAATATATACGGGACGGCCGACTGCACTGAGGCTCGCGCGGTTAGCGAGCCGATATCCTCCATCCCCCCATTTTCCCTGCTCCCCCACCCGCCCGCCCCCCCCCCCCCCCCCCCCCCCCCGGTAGGAGGCAATCCCACTGGGATATTTGCACAGGGTTGGTGTACGATGATTTTTTTTCTGCAATATTTTGCTGTCTTTTCTTGGATTTTCTGTTTGCACATAGTCACTTTAAGATGTTTTCTTGTTCATGTTTTTGTTTTTTGTTTGTTGCGGTTGCACCCGATTCAAGAGCTGAATGGCTCACAGGGCTATACCTAATAAATGAACTTTGAACTTTGTACAGCAAGCGGGGTCACTGACCTCGCGGATTCGGTGCCGTCTGAAGAAAAAAATGTGGACAAAGCGATTTCGGACAAACGTTCGAATACCGGACGGTAGTTAAAAAAAACACACACGAGTCTCGGACGTTTGTTTAAGATTACTATTACTATTGTAATGACAGGGTAACACCTGCCGGCCTGTAAGGGTAATTACGGTTATAGCCGCATCACATAATGCCTCATTATGAAGGGGCGTGTCTGGGGTAAAGCTCAAGGGCGGAGTCAGTCGAGAAGCTCCGGGAACCATCCCGAATGTTCTGGAAAGGAGGCGTCGCCAGAGGTGGAGCTTGGCCGCACCAGGCAGATATACGGAGCCCCGACCCTCTGGTTCGGGGCTGTTAGCGTGGGTGTCTGGGTGCGTCGCTGCCGTCGTCATCGCTTCGTCTTGGACCACGCGGCTGCTCTTCTGCAAGATCAGCTCCGCCGCTACGCTCGTCGATCAGCCAGCGGAGATGGGCTGCGTGTTTTGACAGCCTGGGGGTAGCCGCGTTACGGAGCGTATCGCGCGGTGTGCCACTAGACGTGTGTCGGAAGTCTCCCACTGCACTGTTATAAAGACAAAAACATTTTAGACAGTGGCAGAGGTCGCAGACGGGTTTTGATTCCTTACCCGTACCCGTACCCGGCCGCACCAGGGTCGAAAACGGGTGCCCATACCCGTACCCTACCCGATACCTGGCTACCCGTACCCGGCCGGCTATAGGGTAGGGTACGGGTGACGGGTACCCGATTATGACCTCTGGGATGAAGCCATGTTGCAGGCGCGGGTGGGTTGATTCTAGGAACTTGAATTGTGAGAAGAGAGAAGACGTTGGGAAATGAGTGACAAACGGTGACTCACCAGTGACTCACGGCCTACCCGTACCCGTACCCGGCCGCACCAGGGTCGCAAACGGGTACCCGTACCCGGCCGGGTACGGGTAGCCGGGTATCGCTAGGGTACGGGTATCGGGTACCCGGTTGCGACCTCTGGACAGTGGTAGCGGATGTCCTCTCGGTCTTTGTAGGGTTGCCACTTCTTCTTCTTGTTGGTTCCATGTCACTCGAGGTGGACGGCCGCCACCGCTATGGAACGATGAACGTGAGCTCGGGTTCCTCGGACGCGGGGGGCGCTGTGCCACTGCGTTGTGTTTCGTTCACGGCCTTGGCACACTGCGCTGATGGTAATTGAGAACGAATTCACGCGGGGGGGGGGGGATTCAAATCGCCGCCGCTTCATCGACCGTGCGTAGGTTAATAAAAAATTGGCGAGTTAAAAAAGTTGACGTTTCGCGGGGAATTGTTCCTTTGCTTCGTGTTGCTTTGTTAATCTCACCAATTTTTCCACGCACGCACACACTCACACTCAAAAAAAATAGAGGTACAGGCATTCACTCTTGAATGTGCACACGCACACACTCGCTCACACGCACTCAAAAATAATCGAGGTTCAGGCATTCACTCTTGAATGTGCACACGCACACACTCACTCACACACTCACTCATGCACTCAAAAATAATCGAGGTTCAGGCATTCACTCTTGAATGTGCACACGCACACACTCACTCACACACTCACTCACGCACTCAAAAATAATCGAGGTTCAGGCATTCACTCTTGAATGTGCACACGCACCTATTCACACGTTCAAGGACCCCCACCCCCCATAGCCTTATAACAGGCTTTTGACCATGAGTGCTATTGGTGAGCACCTATTAAGGCCTGAATGGTGCACGAAGAGGGGGTGGGAGGCCAGCTCCACGCCCGGCCGCCTTTGTCTCCCTCGTGCCGATGTTCGGACAATGCGCCACGTGCTCATTGCAGGCTGAGCCGACCTAGGCGGGGCCCAGAACCGGTTGACGTATCACTCACCTCAAGTGTCAGTCCTGGCCCGGGAATGGGAATGAGGTTACCGAGTTCACAGCGCAGTGCGTTTACACACACACACACACCTATTTGCGTACGCATATGTACACACACACACACCTATTTGCACACGCATATGTACACACACACCTATTTACACACGCATATGTACACACACACACATACAACAACAACAACCGCCATTCGCTACTAAGTGTCGGTGACGTCACCACGACGCTTGTGCCAGGCCATGTGCACCTTGAGGCTACCACGTGAAGTGTCGAACGCCCGCTGGCAGGAGGTCACGGGCCAGACCCAGGTACCACGGGTCGATTGACTGAGATGACACACGCATATGTACACACACACACAAAGATCCCCCGTATAGCCTTAACAGACTGTAGGGGCAAGTGCTGTTAGCGAGCACCTATGAAGGCCGGAACGGTACACGAGGGGGTGGGTGGCCAGCACCACGCCCTACCGCCTTTGTCTCCCCAGTGGCGATGTTTACACACTGCACCAGGTACTCAGTTAAGGCTGAGTCGACCTAAGGGAGGCCCAGGACCTGTTCAGATAATCGTCACTGGTGTTGGCCGTGAGCGGGAATCGAACCCGGGTCGCCAGGTTCATAGCGCAGCGCGCTAACCGCTACACTACCGCTCCCCACACAGACACACACGCAGATACAGCTTTTCACATGGGTAACTCCCTTGGAGGCAGGACACATGGAAAGGGCACCTGGGTCTCAGCAATATCTAACTTTATTAGTTTTATTCAAGTTGCATATAAAATGAGCCCGAAAACAACAACAGCAGCAGGGGCCAGCATTACACACAGAAAGGCAAAGATCTCCCGTATAGGCTTGAACAGACTTTTGGCAAGTGCTTTTAGCGAGCACCTGTGAAGGCCAGCACGGCACACAAATCAACGCGCACGGCGAAAACACGTGGGCAACTTGAAGCGTTACGCCAAGTCGCACGTTTGGAGGGGGGTGGCCGAGTAGCGGGGGGTGGTGGTGGGGTGGGGGTTAGGGTTGTATTTATGATTGCAATTCTCCCACACCACGGCCTCCGTCCACGTGCGCGGTTTTCTAGAAATGTATTGCCGTTCCATGAGTGGTAGATCTCACCCCTCCCCCTCACCCCCCCCCCCCCCGCCGCAGTCTATATCGACCGAAGGGGCGTTCCGCTATCGAGTGGAGAGGGAAAGGCAGTGTGTTAGAACGTCCGCGTCGCGTGTAGACCTCACGAGGGATCGAGGCTTTTGGATCTCCATTATTTTCCCTGCCCCATTGTGCGCATCGCGGAAAGCCGCCGTGGGCTTTCCGATTTTTTTTTTTTGCTCCAGTTTCTGTTTTTTTGCGGTTAGTCGGCCCGCTCGTGATTTAATC